GGGGGGGGTTAACTCCCATAATGTATCTTATAAATAGAGTACATTAGCTTTGAAATCCATAAGTATTTTTTATGTATTATTCAGTAAATTATAAAAATATTAACCACGACTGCAGCACTTTAAATTTGAATTTATCAGGCTAACACCCCATATTTATTACTGTGTGAATCACGTACATCCTTTTACAGCAGCATGTGGAGTCGCTATGAAGTCGCTGAGTGTCCGTTTAACACTGTTAAAAATATACCCACTGAAAATTAAAACCAATAACTGACACTGCGGAAATATTCATAAAAATAAAAACGATACTTGGGTATTTAAAACACACCGTGTGTCATGTGTGGATGCTTTGCAGCAAGAAATTTAAAGAGAGACTCAGAAAGGCAGCCAGATGAAAAAACACACACACACGGCGTAATGGCTAACACCAGGCCCATACTCCTGGGGGGTTGGGGGGGGGAGGTCACACGGTGAGGTCACCTGATCTGTGCTCGCACCTGAAATTCACAACACATCTGCTGGCCCAAGGAAGCTCAATAATGCCACAGGGCACCAAAGCGCAGCTCCTGCCTGCAGAACTGGGCAAGAACGGGAGACCAACCACACTGACACTGAGACACAGCAGATCAGGGGGATTCTGGGGGGGTTAGACAGAAAGGTAATTAACCTCATAGACCCCAATGTGAAACAGATCGGCAAAGGGGGGACAGTCACCATGGATTAGGGTATTTAAACCCACAGAGGCTAATCTAAGACAGATTAGATAAAAGGATGATCGGCCCCACAGAAAGTGAGGTGCACTGATGTCATGAACTTCACAGTCTGTTGCACAGCGAATCAGGCGATAGGTGATCAACCCTACAGCTACTATAAAGCAAATACAATTAATTGATGATCAACCCCAGTAACTATACTGCACAGCTGATCAGATAAAAGGCTGATCACTTAGGCTCCCCTCTGCTGTACAGTAATTCTTCCTGCCTCAGGAGTTCCTGGTGTCAGCACATTGCCAGGCAGGCAAGGAGCGTCTGGGAGACAGAGCTATAAAACCATCCGGCAGAATAAAAGCATCGACATTTCTCCAGCATCCAGCGTCCTGCTGGTATTGGAGCGGGGAACAGCCGGCTGGGAGAGCGGGGGCTCTCGTGCTGCGGCTCTGGGACTTCGCTGCGTCGTTGCTCATAATATCCGGCAAGTTACGGTTCAGGTAATCCTGCATCGCAGGGCACTGCGCAGCAGCGTAAACACTGACCCGATCTCAGCAAACCTGCAAAGGGCACCGACGCGCATACTGAGAGGCGCGCCCGCGCGCTCCCTCCGCCCCTCTCTCGCGAGCGAGTGCGCGCGGTGGCGCGCGCGGACGTAAATCGACTCGAGCTTGTTTTAATTCAGTAATCATTCTGTATGCTGATTAATTTAATTGTGCATCTGTCGACCTGTCTTCATGTGCACGCCTCGTTTTACGCCGAAGAGCAGATGCCGTGCTGGTGGTTTTGGAGGGGAATAGAAAACAGCTTTTAGGGATTCTGTGAAATAACCGTGTGACAGGAGAGCAGGGAATGTGACTGGCACGGTGACAGTCCTAATGACACTGAACGCTGAAGTCTGAAAATGATCACGCGGTAAAAGAATGAATGACAGTATACCCGCATTGTACACACGTTGTGCTGAATGCGTAATCTAGCGGTGCAACAGCCTATTTCAGATGCGCATTTTCTTTGGGGAACGTTACCAAGGGAAAAAATGCTTGTTTTAGTTCTCAGCAATACACTTTAAATCATGAAGGCAGGTTTACGTAGGACATGTCCAAAGTGCAACTTAATTTACCAATGTATTTAAAGCATCTTCAGAAACAATTCAAATGACAAGCTGTTACATGTTTTTACAAAATTCAAAACGTTTTTTTCTGCTTAATTTTAATACAAATTTTGAGCAAAAGCCTCAATACTTAAGCGTGCTTAAATAAGAATATATTCTGGCGCATAGAAGTGTGCCTCATCGGCCGTCTTAACTTGAGACAAAGTCCCACGGCCTACGACGGTCTGCAAATTTGAGAGGCGCAACATTTAAGCGCGATTACGAGCCAAAAAATCTTATCATTAGTAGAAAACGTGCATCAAAAGTTCACCGGCTTCGCCATCTCAAAGGACGGAATTTCCAGGCTAAACCCCGACGCCATCCTGCTCACAGAGGACATGAAGACACCATGCAGGCACAGTGAAAGGCAGTTTATATCCGTGCAGGTTAGTGAGAAAAGCTGAACTGCAAAAACGCAGCAGCCGCTTCCAGTCGCACCATAAACGCGTGAGTTAGTCTTCATGTCGAGGATAACGTCCACAATGCATCAACACCCCCGTTACAAATGCTGGGAAGACTGCTACTACATTCAGGGCCGTAGGGAAAGTGAATCCCACCTGAATCATAAAACAGCAACGACCACGATACTAAATTATTTTATTATTATTATTATTATTATTATTATTATTATTGTTATTATTATTATTATTGATGATGATGATGATGAGAATAATAATAATATAGCAAAATTATATTTTTAATAATACATGGGCATTATTCAACCTGTTAAGTCCTTTTTGCATTAATATAAATTGTGTCTTCATTTTATATTAAAGATATTTTATATTAAAAGCATATCAATGCATGCATGGTTTCCAAATTATAGATTATATATAAATGCAAACAATTATTCATTAAATAAACAGCAGTGACATGCAACTTGCACATTTCTCAAAAACATCTTAATCATTCATTGTATCTATGCAAATATTTATCAAACAATGAAAACAACTTATTTAACATTATCAGATTATTATAAATTATTGAAGAATATATATACATATGCACATACATATGTATACAGCCACACAGACGGTGTGGAGAAAAAAAATATACCTTTATTCAACTAACACTGTATCTCAGATGTATATAAATTATTCATTTGAGAATCTCCCTTTTAATCTAATTTCAACAATTTACAAATCAGGTTCCATTGTATTATTCAAATATTTGATAAGGAGGTATGAAAGGTGATATTGTTTCCTGTGTTTATCATTCATTCCATAAGCTTTGCTGTGAAAAAATATAAACATATTCAGCTGAATATTATATGAAGTGAATATCTACTCTTCATTCACTCGGGCTGTAAATGCCTAAACAGGCTAGGAAATATATATATATATATATATATATATATATATATATTATAATATAAATAATATAATCGTATATATGTAATCAAAAAATAATATAAAATTATATTAAATCATTTCTATGATAAAACACTAATGGGTAAGTTTTGCTTCAGAATGTTACAATTGTCAGAATGACAAGGTTTGTTATTCCTGCTGTTAAGTATGAAGAATTCAGTGTTAAAGCTGTATAATTTTAGGAGCTAAAGAATGGGCAATTCTTGGTTCTGACGTGGCGGTGGGTGGGGGGGACGTTTTGTGTCAGTTGAGCTACAGGCCTTTCGCCTGCGGTCAGAGATCTGTAGCAGGGACACTCACCGGCTCATACGCCAGACCTCGAACGGGATTAGCCCCGATGACGTAACCTCCACCCCCAGAGCACGGGGACCCCCCTGCAGAACCAAAATGATACATTAACGAAACAAAAAAAAAAAAACAAGAAAGTCATAAAACCAGAAAACAATAAAAACATACCCCCGTCAAATGGCAGAAACTATCACTTTTGGTTTTTATTGTTTCTGCATATATGTCCAATTCATCCCAAACAAAATTTTATATTAATATGTTTCCCAACCTCAAAAAAACTTAAAAATCCTTTATGATTACATTTTTCCTTTCCCAAAAAAATGCTGAACGTCAAGCTGTAATAATTTCAGTCCCAGTTTACTGCCATGCAAATAAAATCCGTCCCAAAGACACAACGGGAGATGCAAACTTTTTTGCTGTGTGTATTTGGCAGAGTTTTAAACATGTGGTCACTCCCCCCAGAAGAAATTGTTTAGGGTGAAAGAGCTGGATGCCCTCAGATGACCACAGCACCATGTGTCCAGCCTTATAACTTTTGTTTTGCATTGTTTCTTCATACATCAATGGCTCTGGGTTTAATTTCATTTCTTCGAGGACAAATCACATTTGTTATACTGCATTTCTTTCCGTTCAGTCGGGCCCGGAACCCGCACGGGGCATTTAAGCGCTTCTCCTCTACGTCTCCAACAGTGTGCGTGCACAGAGCAGCGTTATGTGGGGACGGTGCCCATAATTGAATGATGATGGGTAACATGACCTATATGTTCAGACCGCCACTATTGACACAGAGGCATGTCCCGTCTACGTGCAGGGAAAACTTTCTCTCCACTGTCCCCGCTGCAGAGAGCCAAGGTATCTCAGTTCTTCTCATTTCTGTTGACTGCATGAATGTAAATATTCAGATTTTCCTAATAAAATATATTTTTTTCCCCCTGGATTACCATGCAACTGCCTTTATACAAAATGTACAGAGAAAATAAAGTGATTAAATATTTGTATAAAGCACACATAAAATTATTAATATTCTATTTAAATCAAATTATTTATTTTATTTTAAAGGATTTCCCAAAAGCCTCTGCTTTCTTTGCAAAAAAAATAAATAAATACTTTTTTAAAAACAGATGTTAAGTTTCTCATCACTCTGTTCTTTTTTCCACTTCATGGCAAATAAATTGGAAAAAAAATCCAGAGTAAACACATATGAGCTGAGTAATGTAATCATTTAAAGACAGCCTGGATGAGTGGCTCAGTTTTAATCAGTTATTGATGGAACGTGGACAGCCGGTCAAGATGCAAAGGGACGAGACTCGGAACGGCAAAGAGGGACGGAAGAGTGTTCACCTACGCAGCCAAAAACATTCAGATGACTCATGAACACTGTTTTCCCATGCTTTTCCAACTTTCCATGGTCTCTATAACAAGAATGCACCATATATTTAAAAAAAACTGTTTTGTAAATAACAGACAAGAACATTTAGGTGGGTTTTTTAGTTAATCATGAAAAATATGTCAAGTGACATAATGAAATTGAATTTCTACATATCAACTAATAAAAATTACAGTTAATAAAATTCAACTAAATTACCAATCGTTTTCATGACTTTCTTTTTAAATTTTGTCCTTTAAAGAAAACAAAAAGAGTTTTTTTTAAGGATTAAGGGATTTTGCAACTATGTATTAATCATCACGTGGAAATGCATTGGTGCTGTATTTCAGAGGGGAAGAACATAGACATTAACGAGAAAGATAATACTCCCTAACAATGGCTTACTGGAAGTAATACAAATAAAGCTGTGATCAGGATGCACTCAGTGCTGAAAGCCAAATTCAAAGCAGAACGAAGAGATGGATCGGAACTGACGGTCAAATCAAGCTCCGCAGAGTTCTGGCGCCCCCTGGCGCCTGCCAATTGTAGCTTCAAATGTACGAGTCAGGAATACGGCGTCATATTAGAAGGCTTGAAAATGGAAGAAGTATTAAATTTAAAATATGACATAAAATTTTACATGAATTTAACACAAATAGCGTAAAGTTTATCGCTGAAAGAAATGCAAAAAATATATAATACGTTTAACAACACCTCTGGTCTAAAATACAAGTTTTAAGTTGACATATTTGCGCTAGGTTTAAATGGAAAATAAATATTAATCTAGTAAAACTTTACGGAGAAGGCAGCAGAAAATGAAAAAATTAACTGTGGAAATAGACTATTTTCATTATCAAGACTGGGGATGAAACATAGCGAAAATGCCACTGTATCCCATTAAAGTTAAAAACTGTAAAACTGATGGGGAGTGTGATGTGATTTAAATATTTAATAAATATACGCTTCTTTTTCAATTATTAAAACAAAATGCGGTAAATACTTTCTGCAATCTTGCACAACCTAATTTGGTACTTTGGGACGTAACACACCTGTCAGGTTCCTGCTGACGAGTCGGATTTTTTTCTGTTGTTGTTGTGGATGTTTGTTGTGTTTGTTGAAGGAGAGCGAGAAACTCAGACCTGAAGGGAAACGCACTCCGGAGATCCCAGGCTGCTGCCAATAACGGGCGAGGGCTAACATGTGAAAATGTTGACTGCAGCATGATTGATGGTAGTTATTTGTGGCTTTCTAACCCCCCCCCCTCCCCCTCCCATCTCTACTCCATCTCTGTAGGTTTTTTTGTCCCTGCACTTCAGACATTTCCAACTTCAGATGGTGCACGGGATGATTAATATTGTGTGATGTCGAGCAAGCCGCTTTGCGTCTCTCACACACTCTCGCGCTGACGTGGAGGCTGGAAACGGCGTCACTTCAGCCAAAAAAGCTCTCGACTCCTTTTCTAACGAGACACCTGGGTGGGCTGCCGCAGCTTCCTCTGCCTAATCACAAGGTGCATGCTGACCTCTGTCCAGTACCCTATCCTCATCACTTTTGTGGTCTTCAATTAGTGCAAGGTTTATTCCTACGTGCAAGATCTCTCCTCCCCCCCCCACACACACACACACTGACACACACATACCCCTCGCACTGGCAGCATGAAGCGACCGTCCCCCCCCCCCCAGCACACCTCATTTCATCAAGATGGACTGAAGGCTTTCGTGCCTGGGTGGGGGGCGGGTCCATGGTATTGTACTCTTGTACAAACGCTACTGAGCTTCCTTCTCTCTATCTGCACCTAAATACTAGTCGCTTCTCACGTATATTAACTGATAGAAAAACTGCCTTCATATACCCCTACTCAGCATTCTCTGTAACAAAGATGGAAAAGATATATAAGCAAATAAAACTGGATAAAGAGCATACACAATTACATGTTTTAAACCTATTGCAATTTAAATAAATAAATACATCTATACGAACTATACAAAGCAGCTGTCCATAATGCTAAAATGTGGATTTAATGAAAGCAACAAAGATGGGCAGAAATAAATACTATCGTGCACGAGCATCGCAGTTATTAATATTATGCAATATTCAACAGCAATGTGGGGACATCTAATAAAAAATAGATATCTGTATAAATATTAATGCATACATGAATTCATAGAAATTTATATGCTCACACACATATGCAGACAAACATATATAAATACAGGCAGTCGCGGGCGCGCACACGCAGCCGGTCGAAGAGGTGGGAGCGCGCTTCTAGTTGCCAGCTATTATCGTCACCTTGCCAGCCTGCCATCCATCACAGTGTCACCGCGTGTCTGCGGGCCCGGAGGACAGGGACGGCACCGTGTCTGCACCTTCAATCTCAGCTCGGCTCCGAAACACGCATATCCCGCAAACTTATTCATTACAACGTTTTTTAAAGGAAACACGCCACTATGTGTCTAAAACCGTATATATCGTACGCAAATTAATTTAAGTTTGCATAATGAATAACTGGCGATGTTTTGACTGATAATACATCTTTGTAAACTACTCTGAAGGAATAGGTTGACGGTAATATGCCCAGAAAGACGTGTTTCCCACGGCCGTATACGACGGTCCGAGACCGCGCTGGAGGCTCATTGTGACTCCGGGACAAGCGGTGGGACAATCTCCGGGTTCCTCTCGGTCCCCCGGGGCCCACGGCAGTGTCCCTCTGACCAGGACTCCATGAGGGGTTATAGGATTTCACGGCGGTATACACGGGTGGTTCAGGTGGCAATTGAGTTCGGGTCTTTAAAATAGAGATCATTCCTTTTAAATAATTTATCGTGAAACCACAGAGGACATTAACAGCTAAGGGTGATTTTTTTTCGCCTCTGATCGGACGCCTGTCCTAGCAGGACCTGCAGAAGAGAGAGTGGAAAGGAGGGCGTCGTTTTGTTCTGCTCACTAGAGAAAAATGAGCGTGAACTTCGGCTGTTTTTTTACATTATTATTAAAAAGCAATACAATAAAATCTAGTTATTAGTTCCTTGTGGAAAGTGAGACGCATGAAAAGGACAAAGCCATAGAAGTTGCATTTCTTGAACTTCATGGGAGAATTAGGACTGTGGCACATCTTTCATTAAATGGTCAATATATCTTGCGTTTTCTGGATCATTTAAGCCACATTTACAGCAAACGGTACCGTTTTAATTTCTAAAGTGCCTTTCAGCGGCCGCACCTCCGGGCACCGTGCGAGCAGCTGGAGTCAGGGGCCGGAACCGTCCGCGAGATCGCCAGCTCGCGTGACTGGGCGACGGACTCCGCGCGGACCAACAGCGCGCGGCGCGTCACGATCACACGTACAGAGCCGACGCTGTCACCAAATCACGGCCACAGAGCCAAAACTGTCACTGAGTCACGGTCAGTCCACCACAATCCAAACATTTCATCACTCCGCAACACTAACAATGCTCCTAATGCACAATTATCAGTACTTCCTGCCATAACCGCCATCACGCCTCACTCATATACAGCTTTCATGTAGAAATTACAAACCAATCTGACTTAGCATGGACTGACCCCAAAAGAAAGAGAGCCGACATCTGCAGTGATTGCTCAGGGCCGCCACAAGCCACGTCTGGTTTTCATCTTCCCTGAATTAAGAATAAAAACAGCACAAGCAATCTATAATGAAAGGCTTGTTTTAGATTATTAGCTGGCAGAAAAATAAGACTCAAGAATAGTTTAAGCAGAACGTATAAAAGGGACAGAGGGAATCAAAGCGACGAAATTTAAAATTACTGACTGTAGTCTTCCGAATAAAATACTAGTAAAATATGACTCACAAGCCGTGTACGTTTAACTCCCCCGAAAGTTAGGGCAGTTACATTAGGAAAATTCTTATATCAAAGAATACTTAACCAAGAATTATATTTTAGTTAACGTCAGACACTGAGATATGATTACGAGGTTATGTAGTACAGTTTCGTGTTAAACCCCGGGTGTTTCTCAATACCAAGAACGCAAAAGATCGTACGCGTGGTCTTGGCAAGAGCGGTCTCAGCGGGCGCAATGAATCATGGGATTCGTCTCGTTCGGCGAGGATGCAACGACGTATCCTTGATATTTGGGGCGGGGCAGGAACGACATCCGGGGATTTGTAACCGTCCTCGTGTACTTATGTTCTTAATATTGGAACGGGTTTTCGGCAATGGAAGATGATGTAAAACAGGTACACCAGAACACAAGTACGGTCAAGTAGGCATATTGAGAAACACCCTTTGAGTGGGGGAGGGGGAGGTACCCAAAAAGGGGCACTCTTCGCAAAGAGCTGTAGGAGTAGTATGTCTACTTCATGTATACTTATTTTGCAGTGGAGGGGGAAATTCAGGCTGTTTGTGGTGAATAAAAACTGGTTTGTTGTGTAGCACAGTCTACCTTAGAGGTGACGAATGGTCCTCCACCAGAGGACAGAGACTTACCTTAGACCGAAATGCGTCCCTTTGTTTTATTCGATGTGATGCGCATGATCTTGCACCTGTGCGCCGTTACGTAACCCGGGCAGAGCGTGTAGTCGCCCCACCTCCTGGCTGCTTGCTTACTTCGTGGCGCGTCTCTTTAATTAATGAAGGAGTCGCTGGACCCATGTGAGTCGGGAACATGGCCGCTACGTGAACCCTGAGCGCGGTGGGGGAGCCAAGGTCAGCCAGGGTGGGGGTGGGGGGGGGCAACGTAGGGCGAAGCGGGGAGCAATTACACCAGGGCTGGATTACACAGTCATGCGGGCAGGCCGCAGGGCTTGGGGGGGGGGGGGGATGGACATACGTCAGGGCCCAGGAGGTGTCAGCATAGCGCTGAGCGAGCGGGGTGATACGACACCGAATTCACTCCTCCTCCTCCGTCTATGTGCTTCCTGTCCCATCCGCCGGCGGCTGCAGAGAAACGGGATCCGCTGGCACTTCCTCTACTGTCCACGGAGACAGAGGCTCCATCCAGGGATACAGGGACGACTTTCGCAGGAAGCAATGAATGACAAACAGTGCTGACTCCTACCCCTAACCTTGACTATCAACATCTGTCTTTACACACCCTGAGAGACAACGTTATGTACTGAAATACACTGGCATTTGTTTGGCGGACACTTCTATCCAAAGCGAAAAATAAGTGAGGAAAAATTGGGGCCAGAGAGCAGGATCAGCCAGCATCCCTGGGGCAGGTGAGGCTAAGGGTCACAGACAAGGGCCCAACAATGTGGGTTTGACTCAGCTGGCCAAGGGACTTGAACCAACAACCTTCCAGACACATCCTCAGATCCCTAATCCATGGAGTTACAAAAGTAAATTTACCAAACTCCAAATAAACCAGGACTGTGTACATTTTTTGTATTACTAGTATCACTTATAAATCCTTGGAAATCCTTGTAAGGTGAGCGAGGTTTACCGGCATTAATCTCCGTATACCAACAAGAAAAATTAGATGAGAAAACCTGACCAGACATAAGCAGGACCTTTTGTGTCAGGACAAGAAAAAAAAAACATACTCCTGTTTTCACCAGGAGGGAACTATTTGAAAGTTACACTATCACTAGTCAAGGATAAAAAAAAACAACCGGAAAGATCTACATTACAATGCAGACAGCCCCGAGCGTTGTGATCACGGGACAGACGTATTTGCATTGGCCCACTGGGTCTCTTGATATGTAAAAGAAAATACATAAATGTTAAAAATGTTCTTTTTATTAGACGAATTGCATCATTAAATAACATTATAAAAACAAAAAATGCACCATTAATTTTCCCAAAACAGCAGTAAATAAATTTCTCTCTCCGTCTCCGGGTTTCAATCTAATTTTTGCCCCACGGGGCGACATTTTCAAACTCATTGTGTCCCATTATGCAAATGACACAATTGAGAAGGATAGATCTATAAATATAGGTCTGGGGCCGGCCGAGTCGTAATGCGAAAATAAATTAGTTTCTAATTGTCTCGCATTCAGAAGAGCGGGGCTCTAATCGAGCAAGCAGGAGCCGCGTAAGAGCGTCCGCCGGCCGGCTCCTTTGTTCCGCGGCTCCGAAACGAGAAAAGGTGAAAATAAATAATAAATGGGCGACGGTAGGCGATCGATCGCGACGCATCAGTCAGAGAGGAGAAGAGTAAAGAGGGGAAGAAACGGACAGCGACCGCTCGCTTGCCAAATGGAGTGTCCGCTTTATACGTTGTGGGGAATTTCTTCTATTTTGCCTAAGTGGTCATTTTAAAAGAATAAAATAGGCAGCCTAAGTAGCGAGTTAGCATATTTGCTCAACCTTCCACATGCCACGATAAGGTGAGTAATAACAAATGACCAGGACCAGAGCCAAGCAGTTGTGGTCCACTGACCAGGACCAGAGGTGAGCTGCTGTGGCCTGTTGACTGGGAACAGATGCGCATGGTCATGCTGCATTGGCCAGAACCAGAGGCTGGCGGTTGTGAGCCACTGACATGTAGCAGGTGCAAACAGTTGCGGTCCATTGGCTGGGGACCAGAGGAGAGCCGTTGTGGTCATTGTCAGCTATGTGTTTTCATTTCACCAGAGACCCTTCATCCAAACAGTGTTCCATCTGACTGTGGTTTTCCAGGTATAAATCAGCCACCAACTGATCCCTCTCCATCCTTGTAGAGCTCCCCCAAATGCTCACAGTGCCTCTGTAAGTACTAGTATTTTCAGAAGGACTGTCCAAAATATTCTATGGTTTAACAAAGTGACATTTTGTTCTATGTTTGGGCTTTAGGAGTACGAGGACATTGCTGTTGTACCTTTGAGTAAAGTGAGCATAGAGCAGCCGTCTGGCTGGGATTTGATGCACCAATGCGCCGGTGCGTGAGCTGGACCTTGACCTTGACTGTTCTTCTTCATTCTCTGACCTTGAGCCTGGTATCTGTGTCTGCCCCCACCCCCACCCCCCAAACATCACATGTCCTCTGTCTCGGGCGAATCCGCAGAGCATGACAAATGAACACAAAGGGTCCATCCATTCATCACCGCATATTTGGCTGGGGTGTGGGGGGGGGGATTAATTTAACAGTGTAAGTGTAAAATACTTAAATTCCCCTTTAAGCAACCATTTGAGGTCTTACAAGACCATGGAGCCAAGCATATGGCTCGGCAAAACATACATTTCAAAATGTATGCAGAAAGGCAATATGTGGCATAAGCA